CAAAATTACCCAATAAGTAATTGGCAACTGAGGAATAAACTCTCTTAACAGAATCAACACCGAGGGAATTAAAAAGCTTGAACACAAAAAGACAAAGGACTAGAAAAAGAAGAGGACAGATCAGTGTTAGAATGACATAAACAACCCAGTCACTTGATCTAGAGGCACCATGCAGATATCCATACAGAGACACTCACTAGCTGAATTTGTCACCGTTTTTGTTGTAGCACGTGATGGGGAAGGGGAAATAAAGAGATGAGTGCAAATGACCTGAGTCCTTATCTGTCACTAAGCATGGATGGTTAAGCCCCTTCCGAGCTGTGGAAACACAATTTTAAGAAATCTTGTGGTTAGTATGAATTGTCTCTAAGAAGCAAAGCTAGAGATTGAGGGAGGCAGGACAGACACTGGTAAGTACTTCTTACTAATATTTTTGAGGTTTTTTTGTTGGTTTGTTTCATCTTGTTTCATTATGTTTTTCAAGACAGGATTTCTCTGTAGTTTTAGAGCCTCTACTGGAACTCACTCTGTAGACCAAGCAGGCCTCGAACTCACAGAAATCCGCCTGCTTATGCCTCCCCAGGGCTGGGATTAAAGGCATGCACCACAACTCAGCAATATTTGTTTTTTAAAGCAATAGAATCATTAATTAGAAAAGAATGTTTAAATATTAAATGGTGAATAATTAAATTTGTGGTTATTTACATAACCCTGGGAAGGAAAATGCCTCTTAAGGATCCCTTGGTGCCAACTTTTATTCCTCTAGACCAGTATCTACTTTCTTCTGCTCTGAACTTCGTTCTCCTTTCACTGTGAATCCACCTTGTTCAAGGGTCCTCTCAATCCCCAGTTATTTTAGCGATGGTTTATGATTCAGGCCCAATACAACTATGATTTGATCCTTAAGTTAATAGGAAGTTTTCACTTTTAGAAATGGATACAAGATCCACTGAAGCCAGTGAGTACTACAGCCCCTAAATATATATGTGTATTTATTTATGTATAAAATTATATACATAACCACAGGGCAGGGAACCCTGACTGCTCTTTGGACTGGAGAGGGAGGGGGAGAGGAGTAGGGGGAGGGGGAGAAGGGTGGGAGGAGGGGGAGAAGGGTGGGAGGAGGGGGAGAAGGGTGGGAGGAGGGGGAGAAGGGTGGGAGGAGGGGGAGGGAAATGGGAGGCTGGGAGGAGGCGGAAACTTGTTTTTTTTTCCTTTTCTCAATAAAAAAATTATATACATAAATATATGTATATAAATATATATGTATATATAAATATTTGTGTATATGATCCCCATAAATGTATATATATATTTATATATAACTTTTTATTTAAATAAATTTATATATTTATGTATATAATTCCCATAAAATGTATATATATGGGAATTATATAGAAAAAGCATGTGCTTTCCTGGAGCCCCCAAGAGAAGTAAGTAGAAAGACAGCTGAGCTCTGATTCCATGTAGGCCTCAAGTGTGTCTTGTCCTAATTTAAACAGGCATTACCATGGAGCACAATGGGCAAGCACTGGACTGCTCAGGTGCAAATCTGATTTTCTATGAGTTAATTGTGTCATCAACTTGTTCCTCATCTACAAAATTGGACTAGTAAAGGCCCCTGAATTGATTAAGTGATTTAGTATGTATAAAATACATATATATGCATTCATTTATATCAATTCAAGTATGCATAGGTGTGTAACTTAATACATATATGTAATATAGTAAAAATCATTTCACTATGTGCAAGGTAAGTTATTATCTAGTTTTATTATGCATTATTAAATTTCTCTTTTCTTTAAGTTGGTTTGAGTTTTTTGATAGTTAACAGAATCCTAGCTTACCTGCCCAACTGATAGATTTATGCATCTTCTCATAAACATAAACACTGTCATTACCATAAAAACAGTACTTTTAAAGTAAATAAAAAAGCTTTAAAATTAGTGGCATTGTTGCCCTTAAATATAACAAGATGGAGACTCTGTAGCTAAAGCAGGAAGTTTCACAAATTGAAAATAAATGAGAATGTAACAGTTCTGTTTTCAAAGAATGAACAAATGACATTAATAATAAACTACTTTTCCCCTTGATACAGCTAAATGTTATTACTCAGATTTGGCTAGTGTCTGATGGACTGCTGGAAAGAAAAATAAGTATATATAAATACTCAGGAAGCAATTCAGCCATAATAAAAATATGCATAATTATTTTTAGAAATTGGCCTAAGGTCATAATTAAGATTGTGGGTAAATATTCTTCCTAGTATTACTGGCTTGTATTTATATAAAGAAACACTGAGAAATGAATAACCAAAAGCAGAATTCATTAGTCTGTATGCCCCAATATTATATTTAGTCATTTTATGTGCTGATATAAAATATGTACATGAATAGGAGGTATTTCACCATTATTAAATGAGATAAATAGGTTCCTCAATTGTTCAGTGAAGGCCTGTTGAGTTGTATAAATGTATGTACATGTATGTAGAAAGTCTAGTAGATTATACATCAGGTGATAGTATAATCTCTGCATACCATCTTAGCCAAAAGGCTGAGAAGTGAAGACAGTAAAATCTCTAGGAGGCAGAACTATAAGATTCTGTTGGATTTAGTTCCTACTTACACGTATATTTAATTTTTCCTTCAATGACTTTAACTGACATTCAGGGAAGAAACATTATTTTTTTAATTTTAGAAAGTTGTAAGTCATCTCTAAGGGTCATTTCAGTAGGACATTTGCAGTCAAACTGTGCTCAAGCCATTAGAAGAGGAGCTGAAAAGAAATTCAACCTTCATTAATAAAATCTGCTTTAACCAACCAAGGAGCAAAGGGTCTGATGGACATGTGTGGCATTCGTTTGGTGAAATAGAGAGTCTACACTGGGGAGGAAGAGACCAAAGAAGCAGAAAGAGGGGACCAATTGGGAAATTCCAGCGAGCACAGCTGCCAGTTGGGCTTTTCTGAGCAGCTGTAGTCCCTTGCACCAACCATACTCCAATCCTGCCCAATTTCAAAGTCAGGACAGAACCCCTTCTCTCAGCCTCCGGATGTCCGAATTCCCTACACTAGCACAACAAGTACAATACATAAGCAACAGTCCCAGGGAAGAAAACAAGAGAACTGAAACCCTGTGAAGTAGGAGGACCCTTGAACTCCCTGTTATAAAAGAGTGGGCACCACCACCAACTGCCAAAATAACAGACATTTAACCTTAAGCAGATGAAGAAAAGAGTTGTCAACAGTTCGTACAGGTTAGGATGCTCTGCCATAAAACATTGCAGGCTCCTTCATTTATGTGGAACATATTAACAGCTGGTGACCTAGATTAATATGTAAAAAAGCAGACCATATCACAAAATTACTTCACAGATGGAAAGCCGACTCAGTGAAAAACCTCAGACGAAAGATTCACGTGATTATTTTAGTGGGAGGGGTAGCTACAAGTGGGCGAAATAAAATGTGGAAAAATGACGACAAAGTCCTGTCCGAGTCTCAAGGTGGGCAAACATCTGGTATCTGGCTATTTCCTGGCCAAGCACCCAGGGAATGGAAGGGGACAAGTAGTCTGCCTAATTCAGCTTCTTGGGGAGTGGAGGATCGTGGAGTTCAGGATGAGCTTGGGTAGATATTAAAAGCAATGCAATCCTCTTACAGCACTGGGAGGATGCATTTGTGCAGGATGTGTGCAGGGAGGGAGGGGCTACAAGCAGCCACTGAGCCTTGGCAGGGGGAAGGACAGAGATCAGTCAGTGCTTCCAAGCTCTAGGAGCAACCCAAAGTGGGGGCAGCTTGAACTTGGGTAAGTGCTGAATAAGTGAGAAACAAGGAAAATCTGATTTCCAGAAAGACAGGAAAACACCAGAGACCCTCATTCCAGGGACAGAAATTAATCTCATATGAAATAAGTGCAGTTCGGTTTACCCCAGGATCACTAGCCCAGGTTCATGCTCAAATACAATGTTCAAGCTCCCATATAAAACGCCCTTCGCTCAGGACAAATGAAGACCTATAATTAGAGGGGTCAGATATAGCAATCCAGAAAGCTGGGGACCCAGTGCCTTGTAAAATACCCCCCTCGCGCGCCCAGAGATGGACTTACTATGGATCTGGGTTGAGTTTGTGCACAGCCCTAAGGAAGAGACATAATTTACAATGGCTAATTTACTCCGGAGCTTGCGAAACAACTGCGACCCTAGCCCCTCTGATAGGAGTGGGGTTTGTTTTGCTTCTTCTTAAGCAGAGAAACCAACATTTTGTGCAGAGATGTGCAAAAAATAACTCTAAGATTTGGGTTATTTATTTTTGACCTTCCAGAGGGCACTGGATTCAAAAAGGACACGGATTCAGAGGGAGAAAGTGTGCATTCTCTCGAACTCCAGTTAAGCACTGAACGAAGGTGTTGATTGTTTATTATCCGTCCCATTGGTCTATGCACGTCTGGGTGTCTTCTCTGCTTAAGTCGTTCGTTTCGACCTCACTCAAACAGGCACAACACCCCCACCCAGGAAAACTGGATGCGACAATCTCCCTCCAGGATCTGCGGCCACGGACGCCTGAGCTGCGTGCGGGAGAGCCCGAGGTCTGGAGGTGCGGCCGCCAGGCGCCTAGAGATGAGGAGCCAGGGAACGCAGCTCAGGGTGCAGCCAGAGAGCAGCTGCACCTGCCACCTCTGGTCCCCGGAGGCGTGACTAAGAGAGCGGCCACCCTAAGTGAGCTCCGGTGGTCTGGCGCAGTCCGTGACCGGGAGACCGGGAGTCTGCGGGTCCCTGGCGTACCCTCCGCCGTGCCGTGCCCACGCTGCCTGAATGGATCCTGCCTGGCTGCAATCACTGGGCGCAGAGACAGGGGACTCCTCCATCTACTCCCTTCCGGGCTCCGCAGCTCGCCGCACCTGGACCAGCGGCCCTGCAGCGCGCAGCCTGCCAGAAGCCAGCACCGCCATCGGCGCCAGCACCGCCTCGCGCCACCTGCCCCACCGCCCGCCACCCTCGGCTGACCTTTTCCTGCGCGCGGTTGAGCCGCTTCTGCACGTTCTTGGCGAAGATGCCGGTCTTGATGTCGGCCATGGCTGCTGCGGTCCTCAAAGCTCGAGGAGCAGAGCGCGCAGCGGGCCGGCAGCGGCTCGGAGGAGCCCAGGAAAAGGAGGAGGAGCAGGAGGAGGAGGAGCAGAGGCGTGTAGAGCCGAGGCTACGGGTGAGGGAGGGGCGCGGCGGCGGGACCGGCTTAAAGAGAGAGAAGGCGCGGCCACTAGGGGTGGTACAGCCAGGAGTGAGGTGCATTTAAAGAGACGGAAGAAGCCAAAATGCCAAGCGAACACCGTGATGGAGGAGGAGGTCTACAGGCGATGAAAAATGAAAGACTTCCCGTAGGCCCAGGGCCTGGGGATAGCTGGGGGTGGGGGGCGACTAATAAGAGGTGTGCATCAAGGATAGTCAAATGACCTTGATTCTGTCTCCGAATTAAAGAACAGGAGGAAGTAGGAAGGGTGATCTGCAAAGGTACTAACTGGAAGGTCGCTGCAGAACAGTTTGCAAGACAGAAGGGATAGAGGGATCACTGTGACATTTCCTTAAATTTGAATATGGGAGTGGGGAAACCCAGGGGAGAAGCACCTACACACAGGTGCTGCGCCTTGCCAGTTCTCAAATTTCTGCACTGCAGACACACTGGCACAGCAGTTTCCGCGAGAAATAGTGCCGTGAGGAGAGCAGACAGGACTGTTGGATCTCCCGGATCTCCTGGTCAGTCGAGGCCTCCTTAAAAACCTTCTGACAGTTGTGTTGTTATTGAGACAAGGTCTCTCAGTGATCGTACCTACTATGCCAACTGTGTGCACGATCAAGAATGTAGATATGCGTAGTTGGTATAACAAAAGTTATATTTTATTATGCTGATGGCCATCACACAAGGTTCACATTTCTACAAATTTCTAACTGCGGTCCTAAGCCTATCTCCCCAAGGCTGCTCACCTATAGACTTTGGTATCTTTGCTGGAGGTCAGGTCCAGTCTCTAACAGAAGTCTCTGATATGAGGGTCAGGATCCTGGAGGAGAATCTCCAGTGCAAATTAAGGCAGTGTCTCTCCAGACATGCGAAGCAGAGCAATACTCTTGGTCTTTGTCCACATTGTTCAGTGGGCATCATGGGGTTGTGGACATTATGGGTTTCTAAGCCTGTGTCTGAGTGAGTGATGTCACTGGGTTCTGGCTAGCAGGTGCCTTGGGTGTAGTGGGGTTCCTGTCTAAGTTGTTTTTACATGCCTAAAAGGCATTTTTTTTTTACTATGCTTATTACACTGACTGTCCTGGAACTTGCTATATAGACCAGGCTGGATTCGAACTCACAGAGATCTGCCTGCCTCTCTCTCCTGAGTGGTGGGATTTAAGATGGTCATTTTTGACAGTCTTAACAGGAAGATATAGTCCTCATTGAGCTTAGCAACAGCTAGGCAGAAAGGGAGTTCCAGAAGACTCTGACAAAGGACAAATTGTTCATTTTCAGGCTTCGTTTAGAGTTTGAGTAGAGAAAGATGGCATCAAACAATTGCAAGTCAGAGACTGAGCAGGCACCAAACACATGAGTATCCTGCTCCTCCTCTGGAGCTATGGGTGTCCCCTCCCCCAAACCAATCTCCAATGTTACTCTTCTGGGAGTTATAGTTCCAGTGCCTTGATTTTGAAACAATGCTTTTGTCACTTTAATGCATAAGACGTGGCATAAGGACAGTGTGCCAGTTGAAGGACTTGGTTTTGAAAAGCTAGACAGGGTCTACACTGCAGAACTCACTACAGACAAAGAGGGAACTCAACTAACCCATTATTAAAATGAAATGAAAACAATGACTATGGAGGGACCACATGGGAAGGGCTAGGGGGTTGAGTGCACTGGAAAAGGAAACCACAAATATCCCAATTATCCAATCAACTTCTTGGCTGAATATGGTCACACAGACACATTATCAAATTCTACAGAAGATCTGCCCACTGGATCCTAGTCCGGGATACAGAATGGCAAATAAACACCATTGTTTCATAAATAGTAGGCACTTTGGATCACTAATCTGTTCCCACAGATCTTCCCTTGGATTGTCTGTCCACTTTTCCTGGTTTAAAAAAAAATCAATTCCCAGGACACAAGACTCTCATTGCTAAGTCTGAGAGGTGTTGGGGAAAGCAAGATGGGTTGGCCAACCTCTTCCAAGCATCCCATATGCACTGAAGTTTACCTTACAGAAACGAGAAGAAAGCTGAGCCGTGGCCCTCAGCAGTCAACTCTCAGTGAAGAAGAAAACTCAGAAGTTAGAAATTTCAGTCAGTTCTCTCTGGTGGAGGGAGAGGGATTCGGAACCTCAGCTCTGCCCTGAACTTTTGACTGTGGGAATGCAAGTTTAAAAAGGCCAGAGGAGAGCAGAATGTACTGAAGTTTATCATCTCCTGGTCACTCTTGCGGTGCCTGGCTGGCCCCCTCTGCTCTGGCAATAAGTAAATTTCAACTCCCTCATGTAGATGACCAACGTTCTCTCCATATAAACACGGAAGAAGCATTCTAACTGGGAGACTTCCTCTTCCCCAAGCTATCAATCTGCAACAGAATCACCTTGTCTCTCTTGCAGTTATGTCCTACCGTATTACTGGAAGTCGGCATACATCTCCTGAAACAACATTGCAAGTGATTATCATTTCTTATTATTCAGGTGTCCAATTTTAGTTCTGTAACAGGAGCCATGCCTTTCCTCGGTAATTCCATCTGAAATTCCAGCTGGGCGTGTTAAGTAGTTGTTAGGGGCAAAGTTATCACAGTTTACCAGTGAAGAGGTAAATGGGTTCCTATTTGCAAGTTGCCACAGGGCTCATGCTAGGCACTCTGGAATGTTCATCAAGCATGTTAGCTAGCACTTCACAGGTGTGTTGGAAATCCCACTAGACTGGATCACAAGTATCTATTATGCCAGGCATGGTGGCAGGGATCAGAGGCACTCTTTAAGAAGCCTGAGCCTGAGATTCCTGAATTGTTCCCAGATTCTCTCTAAAAACCTTTGCCTCTGATCCTGCCCCTCTGTCACTCCCTGATGACTTAATGGTCCTGTCTGTGGCAGGACAATTCGGGAATGTTCTGGACATCCCTTGTTTCAGGAGGTACCTGTCGGTGGGACCAGAGCTTTGATAGATTTCTTGCTCCTCAGTGGTCTTTCTATCTATCTATCATCTATCTATCTATCTATCTATCTATCTATCTATCTATCATCTATCTATGTATCTATGTATCTTATCTATGTATCATCTATCTGTGTGTGTGTTGTGTGTGTGTGTGTACATATATATGTATATGTTTTAATCACCTGTCCTCATAAGTCACAATCCTTTCTCTTGAAGATCCTTATTGGATAGTTACTTTTCCTTCTGTCAGCATCCAAACATCCAGGGTCTCTTGAATTTTTGAAGATATGTATTTTCCTGTAAAGACAGGAGCAGAACCCTGCTCCAACTTTATATGTGAGCACTGGAAAAACTGGACCCAGAAGCCAGCCATGAAGTCACAAGTGGCCAAGGTGCCTGAGGACGTGGAGTGGCTCTGAGGCATTTAATGAGAAAATATGAAGAACCCAGCTAGCAGCTACTCAGGGCCACTGCACAGGAATTCTATACCCAAATGATCAGTGCCTGATGGTGGCTGGCTAGAGCAGCTGGAGACGGGAGCCCCACGATTCCAGGCTCCAACTGTAAAAGTTAGCTCAATTCAGGAAATAACCAGGCTAGCTAAAAAATAAAACAATTATATTATTATTTATTATAAGGGGAAAACTCGCAAAATAGGAACGAGAAGTCCAAGCTCGGCTGTGCTATGAGGGACACACACACGCACACACACACACACACACACACAGAGAGAGAGAGAGAGAGAGAGAGAGAGAGAGAGAGAGAGAGAGAACCTGGGCCATGCACCATTTTCTCCGGGTGGGCCATGCACCATTTTCTCCGGGTCCCAGAAATCCACCCTAACTTTGTCCCGCCTCTTAAAGATAATTGGTTGGCAAAGATTTCCCATCAATGGACCATGTGCATCAACACAGACCCTGGCTGCAGTAGGACCACTGACCTAGACATGGCACTCAGCAGCAACCTTGGTCTGGATGCCACCATGGACCCAGGTGGAGCACATGCCACTCAGTTAGGCATCACCCTGGCTACAGGATGGCCCTCAGACAGCAACACAGTCCTAGGTGGGGACCTAGACCCTGGGTACCCACCCAATCCTCAAGGGCAACAAGTGCCTTGGATATCAATAAAGACCCAGGATGAGGTAGGGCCATAGACCCAGACATGGCTTTGGCTGCAGCTCAAGCCCAGACATCTCCATAGCCCTGGGTAACAGCCCAGGACACTCCCATTGGGATTGTCCTGCACTGGCATAACCCTTAAGCACCAATGTGGCCACATATGGTGGCCCAAATCCCAGGCATCCTCACCGCCTTCAGTGGTAACTGGAACCATGGACATAAATCAACACAGATCAAGGCTGCAGCAGGGCCACAGACCCAATAATGGCCCTTGGCAGCAGCCCGGAACTGAATGTCACTATGGCCCCAGAGAGCGAGCAAGCCTCACATACCAGCCTGTTCCTCACCACCTTTGCCTCTTCAGATCCTCCTCTCTCCACAGGATACCAACCTCCCTGCCTCCCTCTCTTTCACACTCCCTCCATAATTTGTTCACCAAAATGGCACCTGACTCTTCATATCTTGTGGCTTCTTCTTACCTGCCCATGGCAAACTACGCTGGGCAGCATGTATGAGTCCATCTCTCCTGCTAGGTTCAAGAGGCAACAAGGCCTGAGCTTCCTCCACCACCCCCAGCCCAGGACAAACTCTACCCCAGAGTGACATGTGTGACTCTATCTCTGATGTTTGCCAGGATATATTTTCTTACACAGTTGATTTTAATATTTATACAAAGTTTTCAAAAGACATAAGAACTTCAACTCCATAGAAGACAAATTCTATAACCAATCTTTATTTTTGATTTATGTATCTCCCTTCTAAATTGGTTGATTATAGATATGAATAATTTTCATTAGTATAGATTTTGCTTTATTGATAGAGATTTAAGGTCAATTTTGTTATATGTATATGTATTTCTGATCTTTATTAAGGTATTGTGATTGTGTA